TTTTAATTAATCAAGTCTAATAAACATGAAAACTAAAAAGAAACAGAAGAAAAAACGATAAAATCCAATGAAAAAGCAAGCCAGTCAAGGAAAAATATCGCGTCCTATCGATTTTCTGGAGGCGGGGTGAGTACGGTAATTGCAGTGACATTTGCCGCATGCCGCAAGGGAGAATGCCGCGATAGGGGAGAAGTTCCGTTACCCCCCCTCCCCCGGGCTCCATCGCTGTCAAGCATACGCTATCGATCGAATCCGAAGCAGACCAAGCGGCGTAGCGACGGATTGAGGACGCAGGCAATATGTCAACGCAGACTCTGAAGGCAACTAATGACTGCATCTTACTAGTATGAGTCGCGTGGAGATAGTGGCTATACTATCTGAAAAAGAGGCGAAAAGCCCTTTCAGTACCTTTTTTTACACTCAACTGTAAACTTCGAGCCAAAGAGACGGGCTCGCATTAAAGTCAGTAGTATTTCTCCGGAAAAAACAGTCTTGTGTGATTTTTCAGCTCGTCATAGGAATGAAAGATGGATTGACAGTCGATCAAGCAAAAGTTCAAATGAGTGTATGGTAAGTGGCTTTTAAGTATGGACCGATTTTCTGGAAGCATTTAATATTCCCTAGCGACCAGTCTATTTCATGATGACTGAGAAAGAGTTGTATACGTTATTTCTAGTGTAATCCCTTCTTAACCCTTACAACTCAACAAAATTGTGCAAAAAGAGAATTATGGCCAAGAGCATTACTTTTTACGCATTATTTATTTGTTTATATTAGCCTACAAAAGGTTTTATATATAATTTTGCGATAAAAATTAATGGTCTCCTTTGTTCATCAGTGAACCTTGCTTTAGCCCATTTTAGGGCAATATGGTCCGCCCCATTGATCATGTCGAACGATCTCAGGACCATAGATCCCAAATTCAAAGAAATTCTTCTTAACCGAGACGTGATTGCCATAGATCAGGATCCGATGGGGAAAATGGGAAGATTGATGCTATCAGTGAGTAAATGTTCGAGAAGCTCTTCTTTATTGAATTTTTCTGGGATGATAAAAATTACGGTTGACGAAGATGCGTATCACAACTTTAGGCTTTGAGCCAAACAGTAATCATAACGTTAAAAAAGAGGCCTAGAAGCAGGTTTAGTGCTCGTATGTATAACTTGGTTTTTCTGAAAGTCCTCCGAATCATTCCAGAACGACAACACTGGAGTTTATGTGAAACCGGTAATGCCGCGAGAAGTCAGCGACACATCATTTGCGATAGCAGTTGTCAATAAACACCTCTTCACGACTTACGTAAGTTAAGCTTCCAACAAAAAAACCTATGTAGAAGTCCTTTACGAATAAAAGAGTTGGACTTGCTGTGCGAACAGCGCGTCTGAGTGGTCAGTGCTACCAGCCACCAATGAGAAGCTCAAAATAGCGCACAGCTAGCCAAGACTTACGATGATTCCCGCAAGGGAGAAGATGTTACTAAATATAATAAAACCCTCGTAATGGTCATTTTTAAGTCAATCTCCACCTACGATTTCTGAAACAACAATACATCGACTTCGGATCTATCTTCCGTTTTCAGACTGTCAAGTTCGCCTTAAACAAGGTTGGCATGAACCGTGCAACTGGTTACCAGATTAAAGATCTCTGGTCTGGACAGGATATGGGTATATTCAAGCCAACGGACACGTTCACTGCAAATGTGCCTGCTACCGGCGTGGCAATGTTCAAAGCGACAATAGTTTGAGAAAAACTGAGCAATTTCCTTGAAAAATGTATTCTTTGTGGAAAAAGGATAAATCATTCAGAAAAAATTTTTATAAACGACAAGCGCCTTTTCAGAAATTGACATAAGGAAAACATGGACCGACTTACTCCATAACACTGACCACTTGGCTTTTCGAGACAGTCCCGATCGATCGATAAAGATACCTAGCAGATGTATGATATACACAGGGCAAAGAAATGTAAAAACAAGGAGAAGCGTGTAAGTAAAGTTAACAGAAAGTAAAGGAACCTATCTTCGGCCTACCAACGGATTTGTACCATTTTTCCCAATCATTTGATCACATACCACATGACTTTTCATGAAATACATTTTCCCAAGCATTTCACTTTAATCGTACTTGTCATCAACATAACAATACGTCAGGATACCAAAACATAGCGCTTCTTCTGAAAGTCTCGACAATTTCACACCTTCTGGGAAATATTAGTCCAACTAGTACTTGTGTAAAAATTGTAACCCCAAATACCTCTGACGGAAGCTCTGTTCAACCGGTCCAGACCAAGATCAGAACTCAAAGAATACACTCGAAGATCTCACAACAGTACCAGCAATGCGCAATAAATTGCCCAAAAAAAAGTAATTCCGGCCAATTTCGAAATATGAAACTTATTAAAAATGCATAAACAATATGATTTATCAAGAAACCAAAAAGGAAACAACTTCGCGTTGACGGGCACGTTCGAGCAAGTTGATAGTAGTGATAGACGGNGTTCTTCCCCTACTAGACCTTCCACAAGCTCATATTACCACTCATTTCCCAAGATGAAAGCGATTTCAGGGTTTGGTAGCAGTACCGTAAACATTGAGGAAGGGACAGTAACCGACGTTGCGAAATCTGATTCAGTTCCCTTTGGCAAGAGTTATGAAATCAAAAAAGCACTAGATAGAAAGCAGTAATCTCTTTCCAAAAACTTCTTAGAAGTTACACAAGTCCTTCGCCTGCATGTAGCTCCAGTTCCCCGCCATATTTTATGAGAAAGTCTGATTTTAGGAGTCAAGAAACATCTCAGCGCAGCTGCGCTTATGGAACTGTCTTGCTGGGACCAGAAAAACGAAGAGCTCAATCAATCGATAGATTGATTCACTTGACAAGCTGTTATTCTGTTGAGGCTTGCGCTGGCACCATTCCAAGTCACGCCTTATCCTTGGGCAGACCATACTGTGCCGTCAAGGCTTGCTTCCCTTTTGGTTTCTTTTACACGGGACTCCTTCACTTCAAAGATCATTAAGTAACTAGCAGAACACTCTCAGGTTCTAAATATATCACAGACTCTATCCCTTTACTTGTTGATTGATGGAAATGAATTGAATACAATTCGTTCTGTCAGGGTGGGCTAGTTAGTAGAGGAAGTTGAACAGGAAGTGCCAGTTTGGGATATCGTCAACTTTTATGTACTCAGAAAGTCACCTGGTGGGTTTATAGTTACTTTCCTCTACTTTGGAGCTCTTATTTTTGCAAAGTCACTCCGTTAGTACGACTATTTTTCCATGCAGCTCATGCCAGAAGTCCTCACACGTCGTCATGCTTCAGTAACACTTCTCTTTCGATTTTACCAATAAGCCGCGATCATGTAGCAAGTGTGGGATAGCCCTGCCCTCATTCTCTTGGACTCCATTGATACAAAACTTTGAGCAACCCTGCCACTTCTGTGTTCCATAATAACCTTTCAAACAGAACATTCGTGCCATTCTCTGTTGCTTTTTTCAATGGTTTCAGGATTTTGAAAGTTTTAGATGCTATGTTATGGTGACTGTTTTAGGTTTGTGTTGTGTTTAAATGTTGGACTCACCTGTTCGCATCTTCCGCTGCCCAATCTGCAGCGAAAACGGCCTCAATCCTCCGTTGCAGGACCTCAGTCTGCTCATTGAACACATCGCCAAGCACTACCGTAACCAAATCAATTGCTTTTCAATGAACTAAGCATTCTGTCTGCAGTATTGGAACTGCACAAGAAACGCGAGTATGAGAAAGTTGTACAGAACCTGATTTGCATGTTTCGAATTCCGATTTCCGAGATGTCGACTAGTTCATAAAGGACACCCTTCCTTTGGGCTCCCTTATCTATGCGCTAATCAATTAACTTGAATTTTGGATTGCATGCACGTTCTTGAATGAAAACTCCCTTTCCTCTCTACGAAACGGGTCCTTTCAGAACTTGACTACTAGGTGCGGATTCCAAGAAGGAGGCTATAAATAGGGGAAAGGAGGAAGGATGATTATGGTTCACTTCATGAACCAATGTGATACATTTCATTTCCAGAGTTCTATCTTTATGAATGTCGCGAATGTCGAGCACGGTTTGCGACGCCCTTTATAGCAAACTTCCACATCAAGGAGGGCATCTGCAGACATGAGGACGGTGATTTACGCCCTGACGGGAACGAGGTGGGGGCAGCACATTTGAAGAAAAGACTTCTTTTTTCATGGTTTTCTATGCAGTCATGCTTAATTTCTGTCTAATTCAAATGTTTTGCTCAACTGGACCATCCGCAATTGACGTGCTCACAATGACCATTGTGAACAAGCACCACATCCTTCTTTGTATATGACACATGTGGTGAATTGAGCTCTCCAGATGAGCTTAGTGGCATTGTCACGATTGTTCGGGAGGCTGAACTCCACGTTACAGGCTAAAAAGACCTTTCTACTGCAAAAAAAAAACCTCACTTGACTAAACCCAGAGGGAATAACCTTCAGGTGTTAGTAGAGACATTCAAAACCCAGTTCCATTAGGAATTCTCCGGGCAACCAGGACGAGCATCAGCTTCAAAGCCTCTAGAGTACTGAACAAAGGTCGAATGCATGGCGCATCTCGAAAGTGTTGCCCTGCTTGGCAAAAACTAGTACCATTCTGTATTTGGTGATCTCATGAATAGTAATCTGATACAATACAGGCTCTGATCGCCGTCAACCTGGATGACATCGAGTTCTCGTCATTTTGTACCCTACAGAATGCTATCACCAAATGCACACAGGATATGTTACTCGAACAAAAGGGTAGGTTATTACTCCACTAAACTTTTTTGTAAATGAATTTTGTACTTTCAGCGGCTATTGAAAAGGACTGTGAAAAGAACGAAAGGGAAGCTGCGATGAACGCAGGACTTTCAGAGGTCGGTTTAACTGATACATTTTTAAGGCTATTACATTTATATTTCTTTACACACGTACATATTAATCAGGTGAGACTGGTATCATACGGGAGCTCATTATTTTAATTTCCATCTAGAAGCAAGTACATCATTCATGGCCTGAATGGCTTCTACTTGACATTGATTGTTGTCATACTATCCATATGGTTCCCACGAATATTGTCCCTTTTTTTTNTTTTTTTTCAGGAAGCAAGTGCAAAGGAGACCCTCTCAAGCCCTCGGAGCCCTTCGCTCCCACTGGATGAAGGAGCACGGGGCCAGCAGGCCCCATGCTCTTCTAAAGATCCATTGCGTGGACAACGGCCTAAAATTCCAAAGGTGAAGAAGGATTAGCCTCTACAACGAATAAATTTGATTTACCGATCCAATCAATAGTTTGCCGCTGCCGACAACTGATTTATCGACTGAGGGAGTGGCCAAAAGTGCTTCAAGTAGTCTTTGCTTAGGAAATTCCAAAAAAACGCCCAAAAACCTATAGCTCCCACGACGACGTTGGAACGGAAGATCCAAATGATCCAAGATATGGGCTAAAATTAAAAGCGACTATAGACAAGTAAAGTTGATCTTACGTTTTATCACTTCATATCGTTAGAACAAACGCTTCTTTATCAGGGTTTTTGGAGAGGCACCCGTCCGTCGCTATTTCCATTCATCTGGAGGAACTCGTTCTTCAAATCGGAAGTCCTCCTTTCAGAAGTCTCTCAAGGATTTCAAGGACTGCAGGGCATCTGATCGGTTTGGCTCCGATCGCGTTGAAAGTACGGTGGGTACGCTTGAACAGTATAGATGGCCCTCTGAGTTCGCATATGCCTTACCCTACCAGATAACATGGTTGTAAGATAAAATTGAAAAAAGAATCAGTTTGATCATTCCCTAGTGAGGATTCGGAATTCCTGTTTGTTGAATGAATCTCTGTAGGAATTGAAAACTGTAAAGTGGTAGGCGCTGATCACTCAGCCGGCTTGCGCCGTGTACTATGTCGTTGGTTGGAATTCTATAAACATTTGGAATCCTTCAATCCATAAAGAGATTCTGACTGCCTCGCGATTCGAAACGTTCACATCCCTCTGGACTACTCGTATAGTAGAAAGCTAACACAATAGGCATGAAACGTCTTATGAGTTGGAGATATTTCACATATCAATTTAGCATCTTTGGTTACCTCAAATTACGCTTGCTTAGTAAGAATCGTTACCGTATATTTTTCTGTTTGTTATCTTTAATATCGGATTGTTGTTCTTCCTGTACCAAAAATATTAAGGTTTACGGCTCGTTGAATCGAGATTCTCAAGCAGACCGCGTCTCATCAAGTCCGTATACTACCCATGTGATCGCAGATGGACTGCATCGTCGGCGAGTCGTTCGATCCGAACTGGATGACAGGCCTCGGAAAATCAGGATTCAAGACGATGGAGCGACTGTGATACACCGCCACGAATCTGTCGAACGTACTACGACGGACTCGTGGCGAACTCCACGAGAAAGGAGAAACGACGACGGACAACTCCACGCCCATGGATCGGCCCACCTGGAACCCTGGGACAGGAGAGGAGCAGATGCGCCGGAGCTAATCGTAAGAAGGAGCGAAATGAGAAACGAGGCGAGTCGCAAGCAGCCCTTCGTTACAGTTTACCTTTGAAAACACAACGCCTTTCCTAAAGCAATAGTGCATTACTGTGCATTAGGATAGCTAGAACCTTTGGCACGATTTACCTACTCTCTACAACCTTACTGCAATAGCCAATACAAGGTGTTTCACAACCCTCTTAGCGAATGCGCCTAATACATCCTCTTCACTGCTCTGCAATAAAGCAATATCGCTTTACTATCGATTGCCGACTTTCTCCCNGCAATCACCGCACCGGCATCGCTCTATTTGGATTGCGAGGATTTTGGGCAATAAAAACTACAAACAATACAATAAAGGGTCATTGTAAAACTTCAATACGGCATTACTGTCGATTTCCTTCCTTCCCTTCAACATTAGGAAACTTGCACAATAACTACGCCGGCGCTCCTGTCGCGGTAATTTTACAATAACGGACAATATGTAACTACAAGTCATACTTCCTTGTGAGCCCAAGTTGCTCTCAAGGTTTCACACAACGAATGTCAGCGACGGCGCCAAGCCGATTTCGGTGTAGGCCTTCCCACTGATTAAATAGCACGACGACCAATCAATTTCTCCGGTTGGATGCTCCGATACTTCTTCGTTGTACAGGTTTTATTTATGATTCTTGATTACTTAGAAAATTGTTACAGTTGAAGGTCAGAAAATTTGTAAATACAAAAATACTGGTTTTGTAAAGGTATATTCATCTGTTTCAGCTATTCTCTCCTTTCGGCAACACTGAGAAACTGACCGATCGACGGCCTCACCTCTCACCGCCTCGTGTAGCTCGTTTGCCCAGTTTACTTGACTTGTAGAA